ATTCTGTGTCTGCCACCTCAGTGTGAATCAGATTCTGCTATGCGTCTGTGTCAGTCTCTTGTATTTGAAGTACCATTAGTCTTCCATTTGAATTCATATATTCAACTTCTCAAAGTTTTCAGGGTCCTCTTTATGTGCTGGAAATTATTAGCTGCTGCTTCATGATGTTGTCACTGTTTTTGTCTAAACACTGTTTACCCAAAATCAATTTGTGGATTCAGATTCCAGATTACTAGAACTTATTAGGGGTATACAAATTGATGGTACAAAAGCAAAACAAAACAAGAAAATGAGAAGTTCTACTGAGTTGAGTACATTGGCTCAATTTTGTTTGTTAACTATTGGCTTTTGTTTTTTTCCCACTACTTCAAGTTATTTGGGCAATGCTCCAAACAGTTCCAAAAGCTTATAATCTTAGTTCCTGACAGATGAAGGTTTACAGTATTAATATTTTCCTAGTTCACATCAAATTACCACCTAAAACTGCATGTTTATTTTAAGTTTATATAGTAATTTTTTCAAATTATGATTTCTAGGGAATACCTCAGTGCAAAATCATGATAAATATAAAAAGGAGTCATCATTCATGATTTATGACCTTCATTTACATAGGTGATTCTTATTGGTAAGTATGGATTCCAGCTAATATACTGAGGACAAGCTTGCTACACTGATAACTTCCCAGTGTGCTGCTAATCTCAATTACTTGTAAAATCATGCTATCATTCAAATTAAGTTTAATGAAAAGAGGAAAATAAAGATTTTATATACTAGCTTGGTCAGAAGATAATTTGAAGTATATGCCATTTGGAAATGATTTAGTCCTTAGATTCCTTCATAAGTGAGTCCTTTCAAAATGAGTTAATTGACAGGTGGAACTCTGTGATGTTTCCAAATAACTAGGGGTGATAGCAAATTTCTATAAAGTGTCTAAGTCACTCAGTAGTGAATAAAAACTGCAACCAATATCAAAAAGGAGTAGTTAATACCCTTAACAACCATTAGCATCCAAGAGAAAAAAAAAACAAAAACAAAAACCACATTCTTTAAGTCAACCAATTTGCTGATAAATAAATGTACATTCATAAACCTTTTGTAGAACTGTCTAAAATTTTTTCCATATAGGGGCCGGCGCCATGGCGCAGTGGGTTAACGCCCTGGCCTGAAGCGCCAGCATCCCATATGGGTGCCGGTTCAAGATCTGGCTGGTCCACTTCCTGTCCAGCTCTCTGCTATGGCCCAGGAAAGCAGTAGAAGATGGCCCAAGTCCTTGGGCCCCTGCACCCACGTGGGAGACCCGGAGGAGGCTCCTGGCTCCTGGATTCGGATCAGCGTAGCTCTGGCCATTGCAGCCATTTGGGGAGTGAACCATTGGATGGAAGATTTCTCTCTCTCTTTCTCTCTCTCTCTCTGCCTCTCCTCTCTCTGTGTAACTCTGACTTTCAAATAAATAAATAAATCTTTAAATAAATAAATAAAATTTTTTTCCATATGAAAAAATTTGGTTGTTTCCACCATAGAATATTGGATTTAAAAAATTCATAGCTTTATGTGCTGGTAAGAAAAATATTCTGAATAACACAAGTAAACTCTAATAGAATTTGCAAGAATTATTATATCATAGACAAATGTAAGAAATAGCATTAAGAACCCTAGATATCAAAGAATAATGCAGATAGTCAAAATAGTGGAATATTTGCTTGACACACACCACTTTGGAATCTTTATCAAATTTTCTCAGTCAAGAAATTCATGTTAGATTTTAGATTAAATCATTTAAAAAACTTTAAAATCAGAAACTCAATAAGGTTCCATAATTATCTGCTACCTAAAAGCTGATATCTAATTAAAGTTGTTATGGATCACTTTTATTTATAAAATAAATATTCTACCTCTATTTCTTATATGTACTTGGAAAAACATAATTGCAGGACACAAATAGTGCATATTTAATTTATCAAAATAGTGACAAAATGCTTAAAAAACTTTTGTAACAATGGTCATTGACTCACAAAACGATAGTGATACAGCATGATTTACTTTATTAAATAACACAAATGTCTGTATAGTAAAAACAGACTATTATATCATTAGCACATATGAAATAGAAAGGAAGTGTCTTACAATGCTAAAAAATATAAAACTGACCAGTAAAGCAACATAGATTTTTAAAATAAAATGCAAGCTGAATGCTTCAAGTATCCATTATTTTACATTACATTATAGAGCATTCTAAAATTTCAGCTTTTAATGAAAATAAAACCTAGTTGTTTAATTATGTTCTTACCAAAGACAACATTCTAGACATCAAATTCATATCACTTATCTTTCACACATTGACTTAATAAAATGCAGTGATCAAATAACATAGTTCTTAAGTTTTTAAAATACTTACTTAGCATATGATTAAGTATAGCATCCTAGACAAAGAAGAGGAACAAAATGATTTATCATCAAATGTGCCATGAATCATACAATAAGTAGTCAGATATTTACCTGACTACTGAGAAGAATGTAAACAAATAAAAAGAAACAACTTATTTATTTCCTCTCTTGCCTAAGAGGCAATATTCCAAAGTTAACTCCCTTAATTTCCAATTGATAATTCCATTAGGAAAGTATGCTAAATAACTCCTTTAAAAACCTAACTGAAACAATTAAGTGTACTTCTTATGCACAATTTTACAATTACATGATAATAAGCTAAACTTCAGGAAGAAGCAAAATCCACAATATGGTCTTAAAAAGAGATGTATGTTTTTCTGAACAAGTGACCTGATAATCACAGCTACAGATTATACCAATGGAAAATTTTACTCAGCTCTCCACCAAGCTTATACAGAATTGAATAATAAATCATTCTGAAAATATACACTATTATATATTCACCTGAAAAACATTCAAGGGAATGTTGTTCAAGGGACTATTGATTGATTGAATTTTCCAACTTTTCCACATCTATGAAAAAATTTCATATAAGAAAGATCCAAAAATTGGTCATGAATATTGCCATTACTTAAATAAAAATCTCACTAGCGGATAAAACACCTACACAAATCCCTTAATCAGTAGTGATTTTTTTTAATTGAACAGTAGCCCATTATTTCAATTAGATATCTCAATAGTTGGAGAAAATATGGATTGCAGCTCATGAGTTAAATCACTTATAAAATAATACAAGCTTGCAAAAAATGTTTCAATTTCCCAGTTTTGGATTAACATTTAATATCAGTAAGTACATTATTTTATTCCTTAAAATTTACAATAATTTTAGTGCAAACCATGTACATGAGCATTCTGCATACAAAATAATTAGAAAATTTATGTGTTTCACAAATATAAGACTAATACGGAGAATCTGAACCTATTAATGTCACTGCAGACTTCTAGCACAAGTAGCAATGAGTGAACAACTAGTAGGAGACAAAATGTATTCTTCCCACATAAATGTATTGAATTTGAAAAAAATGGAACTTTACCCAAATTGAAATCCATATTTAATATTCACTTAAAAAACAGAATCAACTAGCTAGATCTGTAGTATGCTGATTATAGATTAAAAATGAAATGAAAAAATAAATCATGAAATCAAACAATTCATATAAAAATACATGATAAGGTCAAGCACTTTTTTACAGCATGAGAATGATTAGACATTTCCATACCTGAAATACGTCTGCTTTATTCTTTAAAAAACTGATCTCCATCTGTTCATGCCCTTGGAGATTTTTCAGTATTACAACCTGCTATGCTCACAGGCCAGAAAACTTTGTATTTCCCTGTTCATAATTATCTAATTATGCCCTAATCAACAGCACAGATCTTGGTTTTACAATGTAAATCAGATAAATGAGATAATAGCTGGGGTCAATCTTGTTTTATTTACAAAGCCCAGCATGAGAATCCAGTTTCATTGCATTTCATGTACTCTGAACAGCAGTGAATCTTATTGGCAGGCTTACAGAAAGTCTTATTACAATGAACACTAAAGGAAAGAGCTATTTTGATAAGAATTTGTGGCAACCACAACCTTTAACGTTACATAATTTTACAGAGTGCTGATATGCCATGCAACTCTAATACGAAGCTCTTAAATAAGTTCAAATTATCGAAAAACATTTCAGAAAATTAAAAACAAAATTAATCATGTAAATAACCCACTCTGCTGCAGTCTTTCTGAGCTTTTCGAAAAGGTTTTGGAAACATATGAATAAAATATTCCTTTATTATAAATGAAATAAAGACAGTGGAGATTTTGATTTATCAAATAAAGTAATTCTTAAGTATTTAAAATAAGAGTAGTTTTCATCAAGTAATTGAGTTTAAAAGCAGGGAAATAGGATAAGGAGTGTAAATATTCATCAATCTGTTTTTAACAACCTAAGTATAAAATCAGATAAACATTCAAGAAATTCATGAATGACAATGTTATATAAATCAGACATAAATATAATTTCTAAGTTAAGATGAATAAAGTCTAAGCCTGAACCCTATTTTCATGTTCAAATATGACCCTAATTTCCAGTCTTTTTTATTTTTTTTAAACAAAAGAGTAAGTGTCTGGACGAAGGCTACGTTCCTTGATTCCCTTCTGTCTCTAAAACAGTGCTATTCCATTATAAGTGTAAAATAAACCTTTAATGGAATTCATAAAAATAAAAAAATTATTTCATATGTTTCATAGGTGAAACTACTACCATTTTTTTTTTAATCTAGAAAACAATACTGTTTAAAATCTAAAGACCCTTTTAAGGAAATCAAAAATCACATTCCTTTATCAATCAATGCCAAGCACAACAAATATATATATATATATTTAAATACTATATATGACTGTTTCTCAAAGTGGTATGCCAGACCAGCAGCATCAGCATCACCTGAGAACTTGTTAAGAGATGCAAATTTTCAGATCTCATCCAGACATACTAGACCAGAAATTCCCACTGGGGGAGGGAGTAAGTAGAGAAGGACTTGGGGCAACCACTTGTGTTTTTAAGAAATCCTTGCTGTGATTGTGATGATTACATCTGAGAACTCCTACTATTTATACTATGGCATTCACCTTGCATTTCAAGGACATTTAATTTCCTTCCTGAAATTTTAGTGTTTTTTTTTTTCCCTTTCCTTACTGTGTGATACTCAAGATTTAACTGTTACACTATTTTCTATTATATGTATCTGTAAGATAAGAACTATTTAGTACATGTTATCTCAGGTATACATTAACTTCTTTCGAGTAGTATATGGACCAACTATAAACATGAGCTAATTTTATACAGTGGAAATATAAAAGAGTGTAGATTATTAGGAGAAAGTTTATTATTCTAGTCCCTCCTAAAGTTCTTCAACTCTGGGGTCGGCACTGTGGCATAATAGGTTAAGTTACTGCCAGTGGTGCTGGCATCTCATACAGGAGCCAGTCTATGTTCTGGCTACACCTCTTTCTACCCAGCTCTCTGCTTATGCCCTGGGAAAGCAGCGGAAGATGGCCCAAGTGGTTGGAACCCTGAATCCATATGAGAGTCCCAGAAGAAGCTCCTAGCTGCTGGCTTTGGATCAGCTCAGTTCGGCCATTTGGGGAGTGAACTGATGGATGGAAGAGCTTTCTCTCTGTCTCTCCCTCTCACTGTCTGTAGCTCTACCTCTCAAATAAATAATAATAATGTTCTTCAACTGTAACCACACTTTGGCAGGCCCCATCATCTTATGAATTATGTGTTTTATACTAGTAATGTAAAAATCACAAAGATTGTTAGGAACAACACCAAATATGAAATAAACACATCTGCTAATAAAAACATCAAGATCTAGAATGATGGTAACATAGTATCTAATTGGAATCAAGGTAAAAAGGGTTTTAATTCAGAATGGCATCCAAATCACAAGGCCTACCTAACTGTTCTCGAAAAGGCTAAAATGAAATGACCAGCAGTAATTTTGCACCATATATTAAAAGAGGGTCAGGACCTAAGGTATTCACATATTTTATTCAAAAAATGGTAATCTGTCATTTTTCTTAAAATCAGCTGGAGTTCAGCAACAGTAACAATTACCAGCTTTCACTTAAGCTTATGTAATAATAAAGTCCTTATTCTTAAGGAAAAGATAGCCTACTGGTTTTGCTAAAGATTAATGTTTCTTCCAATGTTATGCTGTCTCTATGTTAATTTATTTATATGTAATTTTATTCATATTTTGCTACTGTTAAACAATCTTATCCAATCATATGGTTACTACTATAACTATAGATTACTAAAATACAGCAACTTTATAACTTGCTTTATCTATATAACATTGCTTACTCTATTATTAAACTTTAAACTATTTTCAGTTACCACTATACCTGAAAAAAGGTTCAAAACCACACTTGTAAGTCAGGAAAGTCCAAGAAATGATTGACAATTTACATGTATATATGCATTTCAATTTCAAGAGTCTCTTCTAAATCAGTTCAAGATCGAGTGATGGAATATTCAACACATTTCTGTCGTTGACTGAAAACTGGATCATTTAAGCTTGAAGATCAAATTTTAATTCTGTAAAACTCTGGAAAGATACAGATGCTGTTGAAGATCTTTCAGTTGGAAGGTTGGATAGTCAATAAGCTTTGTATCTCCCTCTTTATTTCATAATGTCACATTTAAGTTCAAGAAGATGTATTTATGCTGAACACAGAAAGTTCGTATTAAAACAATGAGGACTGAATAAATTTGGTTCTTACTAAAAATTACCTAGAAGTAAACACACATAAATATTTTTACTCATGAGCTTAAAATCTGAAGTTGTAAAAATTTCATGCTAATAATATTAGTGCTTTCATACTAAGATTGAGTCAAAAACAGACTGTCATATGCTTCACAAGTCTTTCACTTTTGCTGAATATCATAAATAGGAATGGCATGTATATTAAGAATAGTTGTTTCACAATGCAGCATTTCATATATATGTATTGTTGGATGAAACAGATAAGCAGACAAATGGAATGCATTGTCTTTCCTGTTTTCTACTAATATTGTTCAACAACAGGAGTCACAAATTAGGGATTCCTTCCGTAACTCATTCTTCAATAGGTCCACACACTGCATATCATTTTTTGCCAAAGAAGCAAGAGGGAAAGACATTACTTAGTAGGACAATTCTGACAAGACATTTTCCCAGTATTTTTCAACAATGCACATATCAAATATTTCTGATTAGTGCAAAAAAAAAAAAAAAGGAAAAAAGATTAAAAAAATCCACACAGGCAAATTAACTGCCTTGTCAGACCAAATAACAAACCAATCAATTACATTCTATCCAAACCTGACAAGCAAAGGCAACTTTTGCAGTGATAAGCTTATGGAAAGGACAAGATAGCTGTTCTCCTTTACTTTATGTACTCTATTGAGAGTTTTATCCACATTTTAAAAATCACTTATAAAAGAGGTTTCCAGGATTGCCTCCGAGGATGAGCTGTGGCAGAGTTGGGTCTCATGAAGGGTATCTACACAGTAAAGTGATAAGAAAAGAACATTAACATTTAAAGATCATAGCAGCTCTGCACTACGTCTTATGAAACATACTAACAATACTACAGTAGATTCAAACAACATGATCTGGTCCAAAGAGAAAGATACACTAAAACTAAATGCCATGATCTTGTGTAGCTTCTTATTTATGTAAAATGGAACTATTTTATCATTTGAAACAGTTGCCTCCTCTTGTATTATTATTATTATTTCTGGTTGTCAAATCTTTCTAAAATACATTTATATATATATTTGTATATATAAATGATGAAGAGCTTGTATTTATAAAGGGAAACATAACTGGTCAACAAGTGTTTTTAAACATAGCAGTTTGCTACTATTTTCCATCAAATAAGGTAATTTAACAATTCAGAAAGCATGTGACTATGATAAAAAGCAGCAAACATAATCATAAATAATGTTAAAGGGTTGGTTAATAAAAAGAGTCTCAGGGAGGAATTCTCAAATGATTCTTATTATTGTGCCTAGACAACCTTCCATTGCAAAGATACTGTATCATAACTGTTTTGTTTCAATTATTTGCCTTTGTATCTGTATTTTCAGAGGAGAAATTTTAGGAGTTTAGTGATTAGAAATAACATTTTTTCACAGCAGTAAACATAAAAATTCATTACTTCCTTCAAATATTTAGAACTTGTAGATGAGGTAAAACTGGCAAGTAGTCACACATGCTAGAAAAGGCTCATTTTTTACATTTAACTATTAGAGAGATGTGTTTAAATGCTTCTAAGTTCCTTTGAGAAAAAGAAAGTGAAAAGTGGCACACAGACAAATAGAGCACTACTGAAGAGAGCTACCATGCAAAACTGCATAATCTCCAAAGAAAGCAAAAGCAAATTGTACAAGAAAAAAGAATAAAATGGAAAATACAGTTTTCAGAGAAATGAGGTATTTACCAACATATGAGAAATAACAGAAAGAGTTGACTCCCTTGTTGAATAGTAAGGTCACATGGGCATCAGTCTCTAAAGAGCTTTGAGGACATTCTCAATCTGGTATTCTGAGAAATGTTTTATCTACAGGTTAAGCACTACGAGCAAAGCATAATGCAAGAGGAAGCAACCACATTATTTATATAAGAAGTGCAACCAAGTCTTAATGACAAGCACAAATAATGGAAACAAGCAGAAAACTGAGAAGATATATTTAGATATAGCATTTATATGCCTTCAAATATAGATATGTTAAATGTCATGGAAATCTACTTTAAAATCTCAATTAAAATATAATGTATAGGTTAATTTTTAAAAATTTAAAGAGTTATCGTTAATATTCTTCCACTCTGAATCTCATTTAATATTCTGTGTCTCCCTTGTTGTCAGAATAAGCAATGTGGCTTGTCTTGGCTCATATCTTCCCAAGACAAAATATTGTGCAGTATCATAAATCAAAGATCAAGTTTTGGCTTTGAATTTTTTCCATATGTATCTAGTAAGCCTATTTTAAAATTAGTGTAGAAAAAAGTAATTAACTATTTTCAAAGGCCTTCACTACTGCATGTGCCAGTGACTATCAATATATTCTGCATCCTGTATAGAAATTTCCTGATAGGAGGAAGTATCTACTCCTTTGCCCCAACAAAGTCATATATGTAAGGCAGCATAGTGTGGGGAGGCAGTACACCTAATGATTAGTGCATGAGCTATACAGTCAAGATTGCCTAGATTCAATTTACAATTCCACCACTTTCTAGGAGTGTGAGCATGAGCAAGTAACTCTCAGTTCCCTCACCCATAAAATAGGGATAAAACCAACATCAATCTTATAAACTTGTAAGTACTAAATGAGATAAAATATGGAAAATAGTATTACATTGACTGGCACATACAAGCTTGGAATAAACATTGGCAACTAACACGGAGATCAGTAGATTTACCAAGCACTACTGTAGCATACATTTGGAAGAAAAGAAATTACTCTCTAATACTTAATTACATAATATAATCAACATATAATTGGAAAAAATTTTATTTCACATTATTCAGTATCTTTGTATTTTAGTTATTTCATCTCTAAAATGGAGGTGTGAATATTTTGTAGACAAATAAGAGCAGAGAAGAGAGTTTGGGACATAGCAAGCAAATACTATTAACATAACTCATGGGCCAAACAATTAGAAATGCCAAAAAACAAGATTTTTACATATTCTCCCTATATTTTACATATTTTTCCCTACCTACAAAAATCTATTATCAACTCCAAACTTTGTACTCAAGCTCAATTCAGAACTGTCTACTGTCTATTTGGAATCTCTATTGAGTTGAAAAAAAAATGAGGTAAATGCCTTAATTTTACAGATGAAAAAATCAGAGATGATATGATCCTAGGCCAGAAAGTTAGCTAGCAGCAAATTGTGGAACTGTGTATAGTAGTAGAGTTTCAGTCTTTTCAAATGATTTATCAATGTCTGTAATAATCATTCCCTTGTATAAGTTAATATTATTAATATATTACAATGGAAAATAAACAAAGCACTGCAAAAATAAATCTTACTGAAAATGAAATGAGAAAATTTTTATTGCTATATGTGCTTCAAATTATGATGTTTACTATACTAAATTCGCATACAATAGAAATACCACACTTCACTATGTAGTATACCATATGCAGGCTTCTGTTTTCTTTAAATACAGATTACTAATCTCTACTCACTTATTTAAACTAATAAAAAAGAATTTAAAAGTTTAAACACTGATAACATAATAAAAATATTTATGAATCCTAGTTACTTAAAAGTTCAGTGGTTTACTGTAGATTTTGAAGTAAAAGAGTGTAATATGGTAAACAATAAACGTGTAAGGTAGGTTAGCCTTGCCCGCATGTCCAACAAAATCATCTAACCATCTTAGTTACATGACAAAATGGATCAAGAAACCATTTTTTTATTCAAATTTTATCAGAAAACCACCTTGATAAGAAAAATTCAGTGGCAGCTGGGCTACCTACATTACCCAAATACGGGTATTTTGAAAATTAAACATAACTGTCCCAATTTTTACTAACAGGAAATCATTTTTACAAAGTACTCTCAAGTAAAGTTTCATTAAAAATAGTTTATGTTCTAATTTCTTCTTTAGAGTCTAATCTCTTCATGATGAACTTGAAGCGTCATTTTAAATTTAAAAACACTTAGTTTAAATTACTTAGCATTGCTTTGTACAAAGCCAGGTCTAAGGTAAAAAGGAAACAATACTCTTGGTTCAGGGATGACCAAGTAACTTTAAAGAATATTGATGTGGCCGGTGCCATGGCTCACTTGGCTAATCCTCCACCTGTGGTGCCGGCACATGGGGTTCTAGTCCTGGTTGGGGCACCGGGTACTAGTCCCAGTTACTTCTCTTCCAGTCCAGCTTTGGCCCGGGAGGGCAGCACAGGGTGGCCCAAGTGCTTGGGTCCCTGCACCCACATGGGAGACCAGGAAGAAGTACCTAGTTCATGGCTTCGGATCAGTGCAGTGCCGGTCATAGTGGCCATTAGGGGAGTGAACCAGCAGAAAGAAGACCTTTCTCTCTGTCTCTCTCTTACTGTCTATAACTCTCTCTCTGTCTCTCTCTCTAACTTTCTAACTCTGCCTGGCCAAAAAAAAAAAAACACAAACTGATGTAAGACATTCAGTTTTACATTTTAGACTGTTCCCTGCTCTGAGGCCTCTGTGTTATTCCAAATTGTTCAGTAAACATCTGAGAAGGAATAATGGTATTTAAAGAAAGAAGTAAAAAGAACAGCAGGGTTCAGGGAATGAAAGATAAACATACACTCTGCTCTGGATGTTAGTGAGGACACCAATGGACTTTCCACAATGACTTGAGTTCAAGTTCTAGCCACTGTATCAGGCAAGACAAAGACCCAGAAGGTTAGAGGAGCTAAAATGTAGTAGAGCTACAAAACTGGTTATGCAGCAATGAAGCAAGGCAGAAAAACAGCAATCCAAGGGGGGATGATTACAAATGAGAAACAAAGACGACAAGAGGAAATAACAGTTAAGGTAGACAGAATAAAATGGTTCAGAACAAAGATTGGACTTTGAGAAAGGTCTTGATTCAAAAGCCCAAAGAACATTAACAGGGGCTGGCGCTGTAACATAGAGGGTAAAGCTGCCACCTACAGTGCTGGCATCCCATATGGGCACCAGATCAAATCCCAGCTGCTCCACTTCCGATCCAACTCAGCCAATTGGAGAGTGAACTAGCAGATGGAAGCCCTCTCTCTCTCTACCTCTCCTCTCTCTGTGTAATTCTTTTAAATAAATAAATCTTGAAAAAAAAAAATGTGCCAGGGTAAAGCGGACACCTGCCAGCATCCTACATGAGTGCCGGTTGGAGTCCCGGCTGTTCCACTTCCAATCCAGCTCTCTGACATGGCCTGGGAGAGCAGTGGGAGATGGCTCAAGTCCTTGGGCCCCTGCACCCACTTGGGAGACCTGGAAGAGGCTCCTGGCTCCTGGCTTCAGATTGGCCCAGGTCTGGCCATTGCAGCCATCTGGGGAGTGAACCAGTAGATGGAAGTCATCTCTCTCTCTTTGTCTCTCTGTAACTCGGCCTTTCAAATAAATTTTATATATATATATATGGGAGAGTCCCAGCTGCTCCACTTCCAGTCTAGCTCCCTGCTAATGTGCCTGGGAAAAAGCAGAAGATGGCCCAAGTCCTTGGGCCCCTGCAACCATGTTGGAGACCCAGATGAAACACCTGGCTCCTGGCTTCTGCCTGTCCCAGCCCTGGCCATTGCAGCCATGTGGGGAATGAACGAGTGATGGATGATTTCTTTATCTCTCCTTCTCTCTCTGTAACTCTACCTTTTAAATAAGTAAAATTTAAAAAAATCTTTTAATGGAAATTGTTACCCAAATATTCAATATTCTCAGACTTCAAGTAATATATAATACCTAGATTTTTAAAAATGTTTTGAAGAGAATCACTGAAAATCTGTGAATAAAATCAGACATTAAGATGCT